TATTCACTTCATCGACTCAAGCTTACTTAGATCTATTCACTTTTCAGATGATTAGTTTTAGTCAGAGTAGTTGAAATCGATATATATATATATATATATATATAAAGGTCAACTTATGCTTCCGAAGTTCTTCCGGAGACTCTGAGATTCTAATTCTAGTTTCCGAGCTGAATTTGAGCCTCCACTGAAAAAGACTCATCACCTGGATTTTCTAGGGGTTTGTCCCGTTCCTCTTTGTGAAATTTTGTTTTCACTTGGTGCTATTTTTTTCAGACAGATCCTTTTGAGTGTTTTATGGTATTCTTGCTTTCTGTTTCAGGGTGGGGAAGAAGAAGAAGTGAAAAGTACAAGTTTAGGTATGGTGAGAATCAGTGAGTTGTCTGATGAATTGCTGATCAAGATATTATCGTTTCTTCCAACAAAATCTGCCGTCTCCACAGGCATTTTGTCGAAACAATGGGAGTTTCTATGGACGTGGTTGCCTAAACTCGAGTTCGACGACTACTTTATAACCGATGATCCTGACTCTATCTTGAGGTTTCGGGAATTTATCAACAAGAATCTGCCGTTACATAAATCTCCGGTCATCGAAAGCTTGCTCCTCAGGTTTTGTCATTGTACATTGCAGCCTGAGAATATCAAGCTTTGGGTTGGGATCGCGGTTTCTCGCTTTGTGCGTGAGCTAAGTATCGGCTATTTTTGTTCCGGTTCCGATGTACCACTCCGAGTAGTTTGTATACATGCAATTCGCTCACGACTATGAAACTTGAAGGCCCAAAGATTGTTTTGGATGTTCCTCCAGCTGTTTGTCTCCCTTCCTTGAAAACCTTGAAACTTGGACGTGTGACATACTCAAACGAAGACTCTCTTCGGGCTGCTTCTATCGCAATGCCTTGTTCTTGAAGATTTGTGTGTTGAACGTGATAGACACGAAGACAATTTGATAGAGGTAGTTGTTAACGTCCCGTCTTTGCAGCGTTTGACCTTGGAGGTGTATCAACGTTCTTCTGGTGGCTATGTGATAGTGACTCCTTCTTTGAAGTACTTCAAGTTTGTGGATTTCAGCGAAACTTTCTCCTGTTTGATTGAGCATATTCCAAAGTTGGAAGAGGCAGATATTAGGGTTTTCAAGAGTTTGAGACGCTTTTGAAATCAATCGCATCCGTCAAACTTCTTTCAGTGCTTGCATTATGCAACAATCCAGAAGAGGTAACTTCAAGTTTCCATCTGTCAAATTCAAGTTTTCTTGAGATTGAGTTTTTTTTTGGTTATTTTGTTGTTGTGTGTGCAGCCTGTGTATAGTGTTAGTACTATCTTCAATCAGCTTGAACATTTGAAGTTTGGTATATACAGCGACGACTGGTCGAAGTTGCTTATCTGGTTGCTCGGAAATTCCCCTAAACTGCGAGTCCTCAATATATCTATCGATGTAAGTTTCTTCTTCTACTAAAAGTACTGTATGATGTAATCTTGTCTCTCTTATTTTTTATTGTTTTTTATCGCAGCATGATCCAGAATTGGATGTGTATGAACCAGTTACGTGGAGCTCCGTTCCTGAATGTTTGTTGAAGACTCTCGAAACTTTTGAGTTTAAAGATTACATGGCAACACAAGAAGAGAGAGATTTCTTGAGTTTCTTCTTCAAACACGCTTGTTGCTTGACGTCTACATCAATATTTCATAATGTTTGTGATATGTAAGATACTAAGATATAAATGCTATGTCTATGATCCGCCTTGTTTCCGAAGCTGAGCCTTGTAAGATATTATTCATCTTCTGTCTTATTCAGCATAAAAAAATTCAGTCTTTTATTACACTTTGCCGCGATATTCATGAGTCATTGTTAGCTGGTCTTAATCCAATACCAAGATCACGTTGATTTGAGAAAGACTGATTAAAAAAAAGTCGTTGTTGAATGAGAAAAGGGTTGCTTGTCTTCATACCATTTCAACTATATATTCCATGGCTGTTGGTCTTAGTAAACTCTTTTGTTATTAAAAAAATATTGGTAATTGTATAGTCCAAGAGAAGTATTTAGTTTTCAAAGTTTTGTTTACTTGTTTTGGAGGTAATAGATTTGTTTTTTTGGTATCAATGTTAAGAGTAATAGACTTGTTAGGATGCAGTTAGTTGTTTTTTGCTTTTAAGTACTGTGACACATTGTGTGTAAAATATTATTTAAATATATTAACAATACAGTTTTATTCATAGAAAAATAAAATACTTAGAAAATTTATCAAATTATAATATTTCTACCACACTTATTATATTCGCCATTCAACTTTTATGTCACTTAAAGTTTAAAGAAAAAAAATACGTTTTTATCGCTTAATGGACACATTTTCTATAGGAGTTTTACTCAAACTGTTTTCTCCTGTCAAATATGTCTCATCTTCTTGGTTTGCACTTTCTCCAGTTTGATCTATTTGTTTTGCATCAGGCGATTTACTGTTATCACTGAAATATATATATATATAATTAATTTTCTTATCATGCATTATAACATTTTCTACGTATCAGATTTTAAGCATATTGTATTACTACACGATTCATAATATCATGTTTTTGTATAAAGCTTTCAATATCTATAAATTATGAGATCATAACTATAATTTATCACAGTGCAAATTAATATGCTACTGTTTTACTTAGGATATACACCAAATCCATTCAAAATGTAATTATTCAAAAAAGAAGATAAAACATTGGTTAAATAGATTTATTCAAGAAATAAATCACTTATGCGAGATAACTGTAAACAACAAAGGGAAAAAAGGAAAACTTACTTCACAGAAAAAATAAATTTGCCGTCTACCCAATATAATTGGATGAGTTGACCTTTCTCCATATCTCTCGCATGTCTGATATTGCTCCACCCAGCTCCAATATAATAACCAGCTTTATTTTTTTTTAGTTTTACACTATAAGATTTTTCTTTATCTAGAACTTCCATTTGAAGACCATCATTTGGTATTGTAACTCCCATCTTTACTAATATGTTTTCCATCTTCGTTTTTGGTAAATACAAACCTCGGTAATTGGAAACATCGCCATCTGTTAACTCTTTTTCTATCAACATATTTGGATTCATTTTAGAGAAATTTTAATTGCTTTGAGATTATTACTAAGAATGCTTTGAGAAAATAAAATATATGAGAAGATTGAATAATAAAAGTAGCTCCTCACATCCCTTTATATATAGTTGTCAATATGACTCATTAATATGATTATAATGTTAAGTTCATTAAAATGATTCTAATTAAACTAGATATCGTATTTACATTTTTTTTTGATGATTACGAGAGATTCTGGGAAGGCACAACATTCCTTTTGCTAAATTATATTTATAAAATTACAATTAATAACATGACATGTTTTTTATAAGCATGCATTTGTTATTAATAGCGTAAAAACAGTATTAAAAAAATGTTAATACAATAATTATTAATTACTTACTAAAATAGAATTATTAATATCATAATCATGAACTGATTATATTTTGCTTTTATTGGTCAAATGATCATAAATGAGAAAATGTCACAAAATGACTAAATATTTTTTTATTAATTAAATTATCATACATAATTTTATTTCAGACAGTGTGGCTGGGGAAATCGAAATAGGCAAATAGCCTCCGGTGAATGAAATCGCGATTTCCAATTCCAAGCGAAGCTGTTCACAGCGGTTAGTTGTTTGTAGACAAAGATGTATGTTTACGGTCCTACATCTTACCCGGTTTGTCCCGTATCTTTTCGGTTTAATGTGTACCATATGGTTTGTACCCGGTTTATGCTAACTATTTGTCCTTTTCGGGAGAAAGAGAATATTTTCCATTGACTTTTCTCCTTTCTTCCTTTCTCTCACACGCGATTGTATCTCTTTGTTCATCATATAGGATCCAAAATTATTCAAGGTGATCTCTCCTCATTTGATGATTTATTTTCCAAGATCTTGATTCTCTCTTACTTCGTGTTCTTGATGAATCTCTAGTTCGAGTCATCTCATTTCATATTTACGATCCGAAGCTCTACGATTCCGATACCTTCTGATAGACCACGCTCTTTTTCTTCTTCTTCTTCTTCTTCTTCTTCATTTCTATTCACTTCATCGACTCAAGCTTACTTAGATCTATTCACTTTTCAGATGATTAGTTTTAGTCAGAGTAATTGAAATTGGTTTCGCACTTCTTTGGAGACTCTGAGATTTATATTCTGGTTTCCGAGCTAAAGTTGAGCTTCCACTGAAAAAGACTCAACACCTGGATTTTCTAGGGTTTGTCTCCTTCCTCTGTCTGAATTTTTTTTCACACTTAGTACTAATTTATTTGATTCAGACAGATCCGTTTGAGTGATTCATGTTATTCTGTTTTCTGTCTCAGGTTTAGGTCGAGGGTGACGATTTCTTGAATTTTGCAAAGATATGGCACAGAGAATCAGTGATTTGTCTGATGAGTTGCTGATCAAGATAATATCGTTTCTTCCGACAAAAGTTGCTGTCTCCACAAGCATTTTGTCGAAACAATGGCAGTTTCTTTGGATGTGGTTGCCTAAACTCGAGTTTAACGACTACTCAATAATCGATGATCCTGACTCTATCTTGAGGTTTCGGGATTTTATCAACAAGAATCTGCCGTTACATAAATCTGCCGTTATCGAAAGCTTGCTCCTCAGGTTTTGTCAAAGTACATTACAGCCTGAGAATATCAAGCTTTGGGTTGGGATCGCGGTGTCTCGCCTTGTGCGTGAGCTAAGTATCGGCTATTTTTGCTTCGGTGACGAACCTGATGTACCACTGCCGAGTGGTTTGTACACATGCAATTCGCTCACGACTTTGAAACTTGAAAGCCCAAAGCTTGTTTTGGATGTTCCTCGAGTTGTTTGTCTCCCTTCCTTAAAACCTTGAAACTTGGACCTGTGACATACTCAGATGAAGATTCTCTTCGGCTGCTTCTATCGCAATGCCTTGTTCTTGAAGATTTGTGTATTGAACGACATGGAAACGACGACAAGGGCTGATAACTTCAATTTAGGCCTTCAATTACGAGTTCCGGTCATCACCATAAGCTAAACAATTGGAAATACCAAGACCCAATATTTGAGTTTTCTTTTAAGTTCTTGGGATGAAAATGGAGAGAAAATGAAAGAATAAAAGTTTGTGAGATGAAAGAAGGAAAAATACTAACTCCAAAGTGAGTTTTCTGAGCATTAACAGCTCCAAATTAGGTAAAAATGGTGGTTGTGAATATTGATGAAATGATATTTTGGCAATTAAGTGTAGAAGATGAGGGGTGTTTGGTCTTTCAGCAGATCTGGTAGACCTAAATATCGGTCTACCAATCGAAAAAATAATGGCATTTCGGTAATTAATTGGAAAAATTGGACAAACTTAAAACGAAAAAAACAGAAATTTACTTTTGACCACAATTTTGGGTATAGAAGTGAAACAACCCCCTATTTTCTTCCTATATTGAAAACCAGTTAACTGTCACTTTTATTGTTACAAGTGATGACGATATTTTATATCATTTTAAATAACCGAAACAAATTAAACCAATACTAAATTAGTTGATGTTACATATTAACATCATTTTTACAAGTGATACATATTAACATAATTTATTCCTTAAACGGATGTTAATTATTTGCACCATCACGTTTATACAAGTTGATGTAAAACACGTTTTTTTAAGTGCATGATCATCATTTCTTTTAAGTGATGTAAAATTACTTTGCATCAGTTATAGGTAATAAAATTATAAAAATTAACTGATGTAAAACACGTTTTTTGTAGTATAGATGGATCATATAATAATTTTCAGTTTAATAAAAAAAATTATCAAAGTTTAAATTGTTTCGATTACGTGGAGAACAAGAATTCTATACTCATGGAATCAAAGTTTGTCCCTTACTCCCTTTTGTTTCCCTAGAGGCTCTTGCGTGAATTCTAAATGTGAATAATGAGAGATCTTGCTACTCCATGAAAATGCTTAATCAGAGAAAACGATGACGTAACACGAAAGGCTAAACCTGTCACATCGATGCTACTGTTACCTGATGACTTGAATATGACTTTTTACCAAGGATCTGAGATCATCTTCGATATATATCTACATTGTCTTCTTGTTTTAGTTTGTACAGATTTTACATTGTTCTTCTTTCTATTGAACTTTTGTCGGTTGTTTCGAGCTATGAAAAAGATTAATTTAGGGGAAAACACGTTTTTTTTTGTAGTATATATCGATCACATAATAGTTTTAAATTTAATAAAAATAATGTGACCCAAAAATAAAATTTATTACTATGGCTCCGCCTGTGGGGGGCCGTCAAATAAATGCATTTCAAATCTCGGGTCATCGTCAATATAATTAATTTACTTCTGGCTCAGCCACAGCCACTGACTGTGGTGTGGTGAGTGGCGTTAAAAGTGGGCATCCCTCAAATAAATGCATTTGAAAGCCATGGATGGTTGGTGGGTCATCGTCAAAGTCGTGTCCTTTCAGCAGCTCAAGAATAAAAAAGGACGCCTGGATTGGATAATCACAGCATTCGATCTTTATACCTTATTCTATCAGTTAAATCTCTGTCCTTGGCCACCATGGACGGTGCCAGAGAATCACGAATAGGTGGTGGTGGTGATGGTTCTGTTGGAGTACAGAACCGACAAACCTGGAGCGTGAACCTCAAGTTAGGTTACCATTCTCAATGTGAATAATGAAAGATCTTGCTACTCCATGAAAATGCTTGATCAGAGAAAACAATGACGTAACACGAAAGGCTAAACCTTTCACATTGATGCTACTGTTACCTGAATATGACTTCTTACCAAGGATCTGAGATCATCTTCGAGATATATCTACATTGTCTCCTTGCTTTAGTTTGTACAGATTTTACATTGTTCTTCTTTCCATGTAACTTCTGTCGTTTGTTTCAAGCTTTGAAAAAAAGATTAATTTAGGGGTAAACACGTTTTTTTTTTCTGGTAGGACATGTTGATCAAATCTCGGGTCATCGTCAGTGAAACTAATTTACTTCTGGCTCAGCCACTGTCTGTGGTGAGGTGGTGGGCGCTGAAAGTGGACAGCCCTCAAATAAATGCATTTGAGAGGTCTGTGTTTTGGTGGGTCATCGTCAAAGACGTGTCCTTTAAGGTACCTTTCAGCAGCTCCAGTATAAAAAAAGGATCCATGCCCAGTACCATGTGGTTATCAAGTGTTACGTTGTTGATCCATGATTCTTTTTTTGCAAGACTTCTTATATCTGATAATGTATAATTAAAACTTCTCAAGATTTTTTTTTTATTGTTGCAAGTTGTGACTGAAATTTGGGATGAATGTATCCACTATTTTCTTCCTATATAGAAAACAATTTAACTGTCACTTTTATTGTTACAAGTGATGAAGATATATTTGATATCATTTAAAATAACCGAAACAAGCCAATACTAAATTAGTTAATGTACATATTAACATCATTTTTACAAGTGATACATATTAACATTATTTACTAGTAGAGTACCCGCACGTTTGTGCGGTGTGACGTTGTTGTTTTGTGTAGAAAATTTAAACCCTAAATCCGAACCCGACAAAAAACCCTAATCAAAAAATTTAAAAACCCAAACTTTTTTAATAGGTCTAAACATGAAAATCCGAAATCAAAAAAATCCCGAAAACCCTGACTGAACAAAAAAAATCTGGAAACTTTTTCACCCGGAACCCGACCCCAATACCTAATCAAAATTTTAAAATACTCAATTTTTTTAATATATCTAAACCCGAAAACCAGAAATCTAAAAAATCCGGAAAACCCTAAACTGAAAAAAAAATTGAACCTAACCCGAACAGAAATTTTCAAAGAAACCCGAACAATTTCTATATCTCTATAAAATTATGTCTCAGATTTTCACCCAAACCCGAACTTGTCTATAAAAACCCGAAAATCCAAAAAGCATATTCTATTGATTTGGAATTATCGTTAGATTATGTTAAGTTTTTTTTTTGCAGATTTTTAAGAGATGGAAAACGGAAGTTTTCTAAACCATCGGTTTATTTTAAGTTATTATTCTTGTATCCAAACAATTTTTTCCATTTATTCTTCTATCCAAATAGATTTTTCTCTTATTCTTATATCCAAACAACTTTTGTTTCCATTTATTCTTCTATCCAAATAGATGTTTCTCTAATTCTTGTATCCAAACATTAGAATGTACTTCTCAATTAATAATATAAAGATTTATTTAAACCGATGTTAATTATTTGCATCATCACTTTTCGATGTAACTAATACAAAAATACAAATTAACTGATGTAAACCACGTTTTTTGTAGTATAGATGGATCATATAATAGTTTTAAATTTAATAAAGAAATTTATCAAAGTTTAAATTGTTTAAATTCAAAAGTTTAAGTTGTTTCGATTACGTCGAGAACAAGAATTCTATATTCATGGATTCAAAGTTTGTCCCTTTTGTTTCAGTAGAGGCTCTTGTGTGAATTCTCAATGTTAATAATGAGAGATCTTGCTACTCCATGAAAATGCGTGATCAGAGAAAACGAGACGTTACACGAAAGGCTAAACCTTTAACATTGATGCTACTGTTACCTGAATATGACTTCTTACCAGTGTGTTTTATTTAAGTGATGTTAACAAACTTAGCATCATTGAGTGTTGTGTTACTTTTGCGAGTGACTTTAAATTGTTAGAATCATTTTTAAAATGATGTGAACCATGTTTTAAAGTAACGTTAAATCCCTTGTTTTTTGTAGTGTTAACTAAATTAGCTCAATGCACTCATCATGTAATTTAGTAAATGTGAATGTGAATGTGAATTTACTGTATAGTTTGACCACAGGAAAAAAAAGGAAGTGATTAAATTGTGATGGAGAATCTCAACTTCTAACGGAATATGGATAGGCAATAATGCAAATCATCACTTCCACTGAATTTGCAGCAAATCATTGGCCACATTTTTAAATCTAGATTTTGAAATAAATTATTTGAGCTATTCCTAATAACAGAATAAGAAAGGGCTGCTGACATCCATTAAATTATTTAAGGTATTTCTAAAACCTCAATCTATGTTTTCTATGTCTATTCTATCAAATTCAATTAAAAATATTGCTATCAAATCATAATTAATTTAAAAATGATAGTTAGATAAATATTTTATATTCAGATCCCCATATTTCTTTAAAACTAACAAATAAGATTTTAATGTTATACTCCATTGTAGATACATTTTTTCAAAACGACAACTAAGATGAAACGGAGAGTAATAACTTTAAACAGAGGGAGTAATAGGAAGCAGACATCTCCTATGAAAACATTCAAAACCTTCAAATATTTTTCTTAGTCCTTTTTTTTTCTCTGTTTCTGAAGGGTATCTTAATTTTCTACTTTGTTATTTTGATTTCAATATTCTTCAAATCTTCCAAAAGCTGCCATGAATGGTGGCTAAGAAATTCGGTTTAGAGATAATGATATTGGGAATTAAGAGCCATGCCTAAACATATTGGGATAGTAAAGGTACCTCAACACTAATAATTTTCTAATGTTTCAAAGATTCATGGGTTCTCTTATCACGCACCAACTTACAACCTTTCTTCTGCAAATGGAAGGGACAAGCCAAGAAAGAAAAAAAGAGAAAATTCTCACGATGAAGGAGTTCAACAAGAGGCCAATTACTTCTCTCAATATATTTTTAGTGCATACAAGTATACTTTTCTTTTGGTTATCAAGTGTTACGTTGTTGATCCATGATTCTTTTTGCAAACGAAGACTTCTTATATCTGATAATGTATATTAATTAAAACTTGTCAAGATTTTTTATTGTTGTAATTAGTTGTGACTGAAATTTGGGATGAATGTATCCACTATTTTCTTCCTATATAGAAAACCAATTAACTGT